TCAGTGGCTGTGAAGAGGGAAATTAACAGAAACATCTAAAAATTTAAGATGCTTTGTAGGCTCATAAAGTAAACATGAGCAATTCTGTCTGAATGGAGATTAATTTCACAGAATTTATGAATAAAAAATAAAATGTGAAGCAAAGGTATCATAGAGTGGTCTGTTAACTCCAATTCACAGAGACAACTCAGCAAGCAAGGAGTTTGCAGTGGTCCATTCCCAGTGTAATGAGTATGTGTCTGATTGTGATTTTAATTCTATAGAGCATAAAATCACCAATAATAAAGTTTCTTGTTCCAGTCTCTAACACGGTAATAATGTGGGTGGATTTAGTTCCTATGCACACAGCTAGTATCACATAGCTCTCTAACAGAAAGGGCTTTATTGTCTGAAGAGGAAAATCTACTCAAAAGACAGAATAAACCTTTGAAGTTTACTTCAATCAAAGAATATTTACACATCTCTTTGGGCTGTATCCCTTTTCTTAAATGATTGCATTTCCTGTCAAAATGCACACCTAAGAAATTTCAACCATGCTACAGTTCTTTTTCATATCTTTATTGTTAGTTTAAACCAATATACGCATATTGTAAAAATTTCTAAACAATAAAAAATATGAAAAGTTACTGTTACCATTTTGAGTTCTATCAATAGTATCACTATAAAGGAGTAAGTTGGAAAACTTTCGAAGCTCTCATTTGGTATGCTAATATGACAAGGCCTGCCACAGAAAAAATTTGAATATTAAAGGGAAAGGACACAGTTTAATAATTTTATGACAGGCAGAGTTTGTTCTGCTTTTCTTTCTATTTTCACTCACTTTACAACTCTCAGATTTGTAAACATATTGTTTATTACACAGGAACTCACTCAACAGATATGAATACATTCAATGTCACCCACTGGAAATATAAATATTCAATGATTAACTTGAACAAAATATCTAAATATATATGATCATAGTTTGTACTAACAAAAGAGCTTAAGATTTTTACTTTATGTATGCATAAAGATAAAAAGCACGTTAATGAAATCATATAAAATGTTTTCTAAAAATCAGTAGGCTACTGGCATTTTAAAGAAAACTCAAAGCTACAAAGTTTAAAAATATTTATAGTTTAATAGTTAACATCATCCACTACACTTTCCTTAAAAATATAATTTATTCAAACATTGGCAATAGTTTTTTAAGTTCAAGAATATTAAAATTATTGATCTTTTTCAATCAGATCTCCAGTTCGCAGCTTCTTTTACCATGGAGTGAATTATATAGTCTCATCAGGAGCGTGATGTAAGAGAAGTGTTGTCATCAGCACTGCTACACCTGTATTAGTTTGCCTCTCAGCTGATGAAAGGCAAGAGATTACCTTAACCTCAGGCTGGCTTTCACAGAAGGATTAAAAAAGGTCATGAGCACATGTCCTTTCATTGTCCTATGAGATGAAGTCTACCCAAGAATTATCTAGAGAAATGTAATTTGATTTACTATTTACTATTTATTAAAGGTCCCAGACTCAGTGAAGTTACGTGTTAATTTGGATATTTCTGTCTGATAATTTCTGACTTGTAGAAATAAATTAATTTCTGATTTGTAGAAAAGGTCCCTCAATTGACAATTTATGTCCTTGTTGGACATTAGCCAGATTTGTACACGACCCAGCAATCTTAATGTTGCCCCAAATACCCAGCTTCACAAATGCTCTTGGAGCCAGTTTTCATATCTTACATTAATAAGCTGAATAAAATCTTAGTCACATTTATTTTATTGTATGAGTCATATAACCTTTTGAAAATTATATTTGATCAGTTTTGAAGATCATGCACTGAGATGTTTGAAGGGATTAACCTGGTGGAGACAAATTAACTGATTTGCTGGAACATCTTTTCTTGGCTTCTGCAGTAAATTCTAAGGACAACACAAATTTCTTTTCTGACTCTCTAGTTCTTTTTTCCCTTTCTACTGATATTATGCACTCATTTTTATTTCTGGTTGGTACACCTCAGTGAATTAGTCTTTCAATATGAGTGGTAGCAACAATTGGGGGCTTGATTTCATGGTTTATTTGGTGATGTCTGTAGGATGTATAATAAAGACCTGTACTCTTTTGGGTGAGAGGTAACAGAGAACCCAATTTGTTAGTCTTTTTTCTTTTCATTCTGTTTCGTTTTTGTTTTTGTTTTGATCTGTTTGTATATTTGTAACCTCATATCAACTAAGATTTGAGGTTACTAGAAAGGAAAATATCTATTCAAGTTTTTGTATTTCTGGTTCACTTCTGACTGTGGCTAAAACTGCAGCTCTATAGCTATATGCTTTCCATACATTTGTGTGTGTGTGTATCTGTAATTTAGAAAAGTCTTTATCTATCATGTGCAAGTATGAAGTATTTTCTAACACTAAAGGGTATTAAAAAACTAGATTACAGTGTCTCTTAAAGGAGCATTGTTCTGATTGGCTTATAGGGATAAATAATCATTTATATGACTCGAATATTCCCACAAACCACAGAAAAAAATGAAACCTACTATTTTAAACGTGCTACACTTTTAACAAAAAAGTTATTGTTATGGAAATTTTTAGCTAGAAACCTTTACATAATAAAGATGAATTTTTGAACAAATTAGTTTGGTTTAATTATTTTGGTTTTAAAAAATAATATTTATATGTCTTTACCATGAGTTTATCAATATGGAGTATGATATAAGCATACATTTGAGTTTTAAAAATAAGATTTGGGTTTGTTGTCTCAGGAAAAGACTAATTAATCTGAACATTCTAAACTTTTTATACCAGTTTACTGATCAAATAAAATACTGCTACCTAATATTTAAGATTATAAAAGTATAAATTTGTATCTAATTGAATTGAGTCATGAATTTGACAAACTCGTAATATCCCTAGTAATTGTATTTTAGTTTTCAGCTTAATTTCCAAAATCCTTAAGCAACTTAAAACTTGGATTAATAAATTGAGTTATTAATGATTATTAGTAATTTTCAAGTAGTATAGAATATTGAAACATTGATTATTAATTTTAGGTTTATATACTTTTGCTTATTTTTATTTGCTACAGATAGGCTATATCTTTGGGACACATTAATAAATATGTTCATTTTTACCACTTTAAGAAAGTATAAAAGGGATGTGTGTGGCTGTAGAAAGTTGTATATTCATGAGTTTTTCTACCCAGCTAAAATGCTTGTATATGACAGATAATTCTTAGATATTTACGTCTCAGCTTCTTCCATGAGCTAGAATTGTTAATTTGGTTAAAAGTTGTAATTAATATAGCTGATTGAGACTATACTAGAATCAGTTATGGCAGAGAAATGTAACTCTGTATGTTCTTCTGTTTTTCAAGATAAAAGACGATAGTTTTGATATAAAATGTCAGTTTGTTCCAGAATATAAAAGTGTAGAGGAAAGAAAACTTGGGCGTAGATAGATTGAAGAGGGTATGAAGGAAGGGAATTTTTATTTCTTTTGGCTTACGATTCCTCCATATGGAAAGAAGCTATTAAATGTGTTAAAATTTTGGTAAATTTCTCACTATTTTGATGGCCTTACATACAAAGTAATTTAAGGGAAAATAAAGAACACAAAATCTTTGCTAATAAATTTCACGTTAATGCAAAGCTATAATTTTGGTTTTCTTGTTGTTAAATTATAAATTGGCCTCGGAGCTCCTAACCAGTGGCAGTAAAAGGCTATTCTTTACCTTTTGTGTAATCTACACAAATAGTAGAAATTTCAGGTTTCACCAGGATAATTTCTCTGCTTTGCGTTGATTTTATCTCGTTCTGGATTACAGGCACATGCTGCATAAGACATTTCCTTATAGGACATGGATATATGCATTAATAAGAAAAAGAACTAAATGAAAGGGTGAATAGTTTTAAGTAAATCCTTCAGAAATGCTAGAAAACCGATGCCTCATTGACAACGGGTGAAACACCAGTACTGTTTTCACATATTAGATAGATTGCCTTTGGAGTGAATGTCTGCTGCTTTTCCTCTCCGCGGTTTTCCTTTAGGCACCTTTGCCTCCTGCATTCCAGGTAGTCCGGGGGGAAAGGTGGATTTATAACTGGTCATCCCCTCTCCCCGCAACTCCATATAGCTGTACATTTATATCCCATGCTAAACAAATTTCTACCTCCTGGAAATTTAAAATCCGAACAGAATGATAGACGAGGAGATTTAAGCTAAACATTACCACAGCAGCATCCAGAATGACTGGCCATGATTTCCTGATTGAGATCTCTGGCCTAGTTTCATTTCTTGGTATTGTCTGCTTTTCAGCTTTTTCTTCCATTCTATATCTTTCCATTGATTTCCTTCTGCTTAAATTAGCTAGTTTAGATGGCTTACAATGAAAGTATCATAAATGATATAATATCCATTTTCCAGATGAAGTGATTTAACTCAAGTCCCACACTCAGTGATCAAATCAACGAGTCCATGGCTCCATTCTAGATTTTGGTGTAACACAAGTTTAAAATTCCTTTCACTGTATTAAAGAGCATCTGACTTTTATTAAATTGACTTCTTTTTCACAGAGGACTTTTCCTACTGGAAAACTTGTTCACAAGAGCACATTATTCTAAACAAACTTCTAGAAATAACAATCAATAAATCTTTGTTGACCAACTTACAATTTAATTTTTTTCATATTATTTTTTTCATTTAATAATTAGTTTCTCAAAATTTTGTCATTTTACTTTTTTATTTTTATTTTTTTAAGTTTATTGGGGTAACATTGGTTAATACAATTATATAATTTTCAGGTGTAAATAACTTCCATATATTTGGTCCCCTTTACCCACTTCACCCTATATTTGACCCCCTTTACCCTGTCTACCTCCCCCGACATTTTATGTTAATTTCATCATTTCACCTAATGGAGTGTTTTGGCAGGACAGAAGGGTTAAACTGAAAATCTTAAAAAAAAAAATCCCTTAATAATCTTATATAATTTTTAAAAAAATAGCATGCAAACTAACAGAAAATGTCTTTATTTATAACATTATTTTGTAAACAATCACACTGTGCATTTTTAGTTCAATAATAACAATTTTTTTTCTATGGATTTATAGCAAACCTTATATAAAGTCAATGAGTTAATACAAGAGTGAGGATGAATAGGGTAGAATAATTTTTGAAAACGTTAAATTACAGCACTTGATACAAAGACATAATTATCTATACCATAAAAATTTACATGCCACAAAACATTAATTTATAATTTTAATATGCCATAAAACATATTTATAAAAAAGCATCGACATTAATTTTATTATAAACCAGTGGATTACTCAGAGAAATATTTATTAAAACTTACTAAAAACCAGTAAATATTGCAACTGAGGTAAAAACTTATTAGTAAACAAAACTATCATTTATAAGAGCCAAAAAGCAAATGGAAGGGCAGACAATGCTTTCTGATGACTCCATCTATTCCTTGATATTTTGAAGCAGCTTCAACAAGTGTGACTCAATAACCTGCTGGACTAGAACAGATAAGTGATTAAGACTATGGTATGTCGATTAAAAAATTTTAAAAAGAACTATTAAATTCAATTTAGCATCTCCCCCCAAATAACTTTATTTTTCCTATATACTCATAGTCTATGGGCAACATATACTCATGGTCTATGGGCAATAAGATTGCAACACGATACTTAAAATACACTTAAAATTTATTGTCAGTGACTTAGTAATTGCCCAAGTTAATGGATTTTTTATTTGTGGTTCCTAAATTTTGAAGTACAAAGTTGTTCTAAGTAACAGAGAAAGGACAACTATAGAAGCATTTTATAAAGTTTGCTACAAAAATGTTAAACACATCTTGTAAATAGGTGTGCACTTATTTTCCAGCAACTAATTATTTGGGTTGCTAAGAAGTAATAGTAATAGTAACTAACTCATTTTTTAGACCTTGTAGGAATTGATTTTCCCCACAGTTAAAAGTACATGTCAGGAGTTAGGATCACATGCAATGTTCTATGACTAGTGATGAAAACGGCCTGGATCGCTGGTTTGTACTATTTACAGAGCATTGCTAAAATGAAACTTGAGAATTCTAAAATACTTACCACTTCGATAGCCCAGGGCTACAGCTAAATCCATAGAATTATATCCAGAGTCGGTTTCAATTGTTGGGTCAGCTCCATTTTCTATACCAAAATAGAAAAATCTAAATAAGAAATCTACAAAATGAAAATTTGGATATGTTGGTCTATTACTGACTCAGATGCAAATAGCAGGACAGTATCTTCAGGATGATCTGATCATGTTCAGAGTATGTGGAGTGCACAGAATTCACTTTGGTGTGTTGAAGGAAAGACACTTCAAACAGATGGGCATCCACTAGAGCAACTGAAACTCATAAACAACTAGACGAACGTACGCATAAAGATACTGTGGACAGAGAAATCAACTGTGAATTCTCATGAGATCCCCAAAAGGAAAGTGACGAAGACAAATGCTCTAGCTGTGGGAGCGCTGTTATGGAGTGGCTTCTCACTTGAGCAGCTCTATGGCAGCAGGTGCTCCGGGGGTGAACAGCAGAAGGATTAACATATTTAACAATAGTTAATGATTCTTCTGAGTATTACCAAGGGAGGCCAGCTTGCAAAAAATAAAGTCCTCACACAGCATTTTCTAAATATTTTCATTTTTATATGCTTACCTAAGAGCATTTTTACGCATTTCACATGATTTCCATGTACAGCATAAAGCAAAGGTGTGCCTCCATTCTGTAAAAGGAAAAGGCGATTTAGTTATTCAAGGTGAGCAATAGCTGAAGAATTTAATGCTGCTGTGACTTTTACTGAGAATTGAGTATGTAAAAGTAGTTTAAGGTAATTTTAACATTTTGTGAAGAATACTTAAATCAGAATAACTGAGTTTAAGACATTAACTTTTTCTTCCAGGCGTTTAATTAACTAAATTAATTAATTATTCTTCCAAGTGCTTAATAAAATTCATTATGTCTCCCCAAACCAAATAAATACTGGAGTCTGTTACAGCACTTTAAAAATCAGTGTCACAAACTCACCCAATCATATTCATTGACATCAACTCCACAATCAAGCAGCATTTTGACGATATCTGTGTAGCCTTTGCTACAGGCCAATGACAGTGCACTTTCTCTACCTTTTCCTAAAAGCTGGGGATCAGCACCCTGGAGCAGAAAGTGGGTATCAAAGATTTTCAATTCATATAAACAAGAATATTGCTCTCTCTGTCGATAATAATTACAGTTCAACACTTAGGTCATGTTATGTCCTGGTGTTAGTATAGAAATAATGCAAACTTCTACTCATGGATGCGCTTGTTATTAAGGTTGTCTGGATGCCTCTTTCCTCCCTTTATCTCAGCCCTAACCATCCTTTCACTCTGGAGTCAAATTACATCTCCTAAGAAGCTTCTACTACAAGGCTGACAGTACTTTTGTTCACATTGCACTCAGAGGGGGCTGGGCATTAAATTATTTCTTACTGTTTCATGTATGCTTAGTCTTGCCTTCCCAACTAGATCCAAGTTCCACAAGAATATGAAAAGCATTTAAAATTTTTGGATCCTTTACCAATTACATCTTGTTGGCTGGAGATACAAAAACTTTGCTAAGTACTTAAGTGAACTTAAGTAACTGTACAGATACATTTTCTGAGGCATTTTCCTTACATTCTGAAGTAGAAACTCTACCACAGCTATTTGCCCGTGTGCTGCAGCCCACATCAGAGGAGTAAATCCTTCTTCATCCGTGTGATTGATAACATTTTCTATTTAAAAGAAAAGCAATTTTTGTGATCTAATTTAATAAGCACATATTAATATCACTACGAAAAACTGGTTTTCTAAAAAGTTGATTATTTTATTCGATGAGATTCACTTTGTGCTGATTTTTGTTCACTGAAGTCCTGTTATATGTTGTTGCAATTTGCAGTCTGAATGTATTAAAATGTGCTTCAATGTACAAATAGCATATTATATAAAGTATAAGCTACGAGACACAACATAATGCTACAAGGCAACCCACAGAACACTAGACGCAGAATCAAGACACCAGAGTTTGAATCTTGGCTCTGTCACTTTCTAGAAGTGTGATTCTGGGCATGTCACTCAATTTCTCCAATAAACCCAAACCTTGCTTATCTTGATGTGCAGTTGGGAGGACCACAATAAACATGAGCTTATAGGATAGCCCTTACCATTACATAAATATACATTATCATAAAAACTTCAAAATCTTATTAAAGCTATCTTCTACACTATAGCTAACATTGCTACCTTTGAATTTCTTGCTAACACAATATAATGTGAATGAAGATTGAATAAGACAGTGCTATGCAATTTGAACCCCATCTCATTCCCTAGATTCAGTCTACTAGTTATAAGTCCACAGTTCTTCCCCTAAATTTATTTAGGACATTGAGAATGAAACTTCACATATTTATAAATAAACAGAAATATAATAATGAAGAAAGTCTTTCTTATAAAAGAATGACATGATTTAAAAAAATAAAACTCTTTTATCTTGTGTCCCGTATTCGATCAATAAAGTTAGGACAATGAGCTAATTTTGAAAAATGAAATTAAAAGTAAAGCCTGATCTTTATCACATTACACCAAAACATATTTCATATGTCTCAGAGATTGAAATGTAAAAAGAAAAACACAGAAGTTTTAGAATAAGGCATGAGTGAGTTATTTATAATCTTAAGAGTAGAAAATCCTTTTTAAGCAGGATATAAGACTCAGAAGTCACAGAGAAAAAAGTAAATTTACTGCTTAAAAACATTAAGGCTTTGAAAACATCATAAAGTCAAAGGAAAAATGACAAACTATGTAAAAAATAGAAGGTACATAAACAACAAAAAGCAAATTTCTTTAACTTTGATAAGGGTTCATATAAATCAACATATAATAAGCAGTTCACACAAAAAGTCATTAAAATAGACCATCATTTAAAAAATGTAAACAAAACCAGTATGAGATACTATTTTTCATCCATGAGACTGGCAAAAATTAAAGTCTGATAATAACCTGTTGTCAGTGAGGGTATGGAGAAACAGAAACTCTAATTGTGGTGTGAGGATAGAACAATCATCTGGCAATATATGTCAAAATAAAAATTCATATACCTTTTGACCCAACATATATTTTTGAAGGAATTTACCTATGGCTATACTAAAAAAATTGCCAATAATAGCGTTATTTAGCAGCAACAAACTGGAATCAACCATCGCCAGGGGGACTAGTTAAAAAATAAAAAACGAAGTACATGTATATGAATACAATGCAAAATCATGGACCTATTAAAAAGAATGAAAGAGATACTTATGTATTTATATGGAAAGATCTTTAAAACACTAAGTGAAAAAAGTAAAGTGAATATTTCCCCTTGTGTAAATAACAAAAAGCACATACATATTCTCACACACAATCCCAAATATAAACAGGAATATTTTCTAGAAAAATTTTCTGAAAATATAAGAAACTTATGATGCTTGCTTTTGAAGAAAAGGGTAGGGTGGTAAGGGAAGCTATAATTTCTATACTTTAGAGTACTTTTTTTTTTTAACTTGGGTTATTTGCCTGGTGAGATTATACAACTAGTTTTTTTTTTTGTCTGTATACTTTCCTATTTTAAAAAAATAGCAAATCTAATAAATCCTATTAAATTTGTTTTAAATACACTTTATAAAACACGCTATTACCTTGTTCGATACGAGTAGCCAGGTAGAGCATCTCTCCCTGAGCAGCCAACTGGTGTACAGATAAAGCTGAAACAATACCATAAAAAGTGTCATGTATAAACATAGGTGTACTTTCATCATCTCATTGTTCACATTTGTGCACACTTTTCTTTTCCAAAACAAAAACTATCATTTTGTTGTTTAAAAAATATAATTTAAAATATATCCTAATATTACAAGTAGCCATTCTGTATCTGAAAATTAACTCGTATGTTTAAGGTAATTCTGAATCTGCAAAGTGCTTTTATCAACAAATACGTAAATTTTTATGATTATTACTAACAGTGCAAATTGTTATTGATCTTATCAATCAAAGAAATGGCTTAGGTACTTAAGTTTTAAAATGTTATTTTTGTAGCCAAATTTAAAAGGAAGTTGGGTTAAAAGACACAAAGACATATATACCTTTTGTCTTTTTATTGACTTAATCCATTGAAGTTCCAAATATCACTATTGTAAGACTCCATGAGTTTTTCTTAACTTTAGGAGGAGTGAGGTAATAAATGGAAAACTGGCCTTGAGAGTAAATTCTTGAGTGCAGATCTAGTTGTGGCTAGTTAGGTATGTGTCCTTAGATAACTGATTAAACAATTTCGTCTATAACATGAAGGATGTGAAACACCTGCTGTTTTGGTGTTTTGAGCTCAAAAATTCTATGGTTGGAATATTTTAAGGCAATCTCTTAATTTTACAAAGCCAAAGAGGCACTGTTCTGTAAGAGTTTGTTTTAAAAAGTAGTATTACTTAATCCTTGACTGCAGTGATATGACTGAGTGGTCTTAATACAGAAAGGAAAGCTATGGGGTTGGGGACACGTGCAAATTTATATAAGTAAAACAGAAATGGCCAATAGGTGCAGAGTCGCAGACTCTTCATGGCTTAACTGCTATAGCATGTGATTCAAATCAGGAGAGACTTAGTGTTTCCAAAATAAAGATATATATTTCACCATGCATTAGAATATAGATGCATTTACATTATATTTTCAAATATAGTTCCTAATATCAAATTGCTAACTGGTTTTCTCTCATTAACAGACCCATACTATATAGAATATTTTCTAGTATATATAGAAAACTTCACTTTATTTCTTCTAGAATGATTGTACATTTAAAAAAATTGTGGATTTGAAGTTTTAAAAAAGGTGGTTTCATATTTTTATTGTTAAACTCAAATTCAAAATTACCATAGAAATCACTCAGCTTTTACTACAAATCATTTGTGGATCTGTGATCTAGTTTATAAGTGAAATGTGAAGGCTCGTACTCCAAGAACGCAAAACACAATGTCTTACTTTGTATAAAGTTCAGAATAACTCATTGTTTTTATAGTAAAACTATAAAGGTTTTAAGAGTTAATATTTCAATCTGTATTTGTTCTTAACAGAGAAACATAAAACATGAAATATTTGAATATGCAGTAACAGGTGAAGAATTTTCAAATTACTAAAACTATCAGGATATCACTTTGGTGTTCCAAAATGGAATATGCATTTAATGAAAATAATGTTTCAAAGCTAAATTCTTAAAACCATTATATTAGTAATAATATTTTAATACATCAGTGGAAAATACTTACAATTTGCTAACAGAGGTGTGGTTGAGACCTCATTTCCTCTGTGTTTGTTGGTTAAAGTAGTTGACTGTTTTATAGGTGAGAAGTGCTTCGTTGTAGAGGGAGTGTAGACATGCCTTACTTGAATTCCCGGAGAAGGAGATGTATGGATATTACATTCGGCTAAGTAAAATAGATTTAAAGACATTAAAACAATACTTTAATGAAAAAGAGCAAGGTGTATATCTTCAACTGTTTCTCAAGTGATATTAAATTATTTTTGCCATAAAAAGTCTGTACTACCATAGAGAAAGTTCCAGAAAAATTTGTAGTAATGTTTAACAATTTTATTCTGGGATTAGTTTTTTTATTCAAAAGATTGTTATAAAAGTAAATCTACAATATGATAACAGACTTCACTGCATTAAAGTATAGGAGCTAACGCTAATCAAATATTCATAGAATAGGGAATATTAAGCTAATTCATTTCTAAAAGGCACAAATAATTTCTTTCCTTATGATTTTAAAAGGTACAATAAGGAACTTTATAGACAATTTGTAAATAAACAAAAGTTAAGCAACAAATTAAAAAAACCAACATGTACTTATAGACAATAAATAATATAAAATTATTTAATTTTGGTTTCTGTGAGATTCTAGAAAATATTAAAAGATGACTTCTAAACTCTCTTCCCAAACTCAAAATCTCATGATCAGAAAGGAAAAACAACAACAACAAATAAACAAAAACAAAACAAATGTGGATATTTATACCATAACTTTCAACCTTTAAATAAGACAGATGCCACCTCCAGGTCAGAGTTAACCTGATCTTGAATATTTTTACTATCCTCTTCATTTAAAGACTTCACAAATCGAGAACACACATTCATATCGAATCGGTTAGGCAATATGAATTTCATTCCCATGGCAACACCCTGAGCCGATCCTTCTTCTGCATTTGAGTCCAGCTGATGTTCTAGTTTAATGTCTGGCATGCCAGTTAGACTATAACTGCTGGGACACTCTTCCACTATCAGCTGGGCTCCAATATCCAGATTTGCTGATGTAGCCATGATTTCACTGTAGTTTCAATAATTAAAACATTTCTTCATAATATCCTCTTGGTTTTATAAAAGCGGTATCCAGTGTATTCTTGGAATTTATATATTAAAAAAATCTGAAAGAAAAAATTACAAGTATTATATCAACTTAGGTAAAGTACACTTTACCTAGTCATTTAAATAATCATTTTCAATCAAATATGCAAGTGATGCTCTTATAAGCACCGATTAATAAGAGAAAGTATAAAATGTTCAGAGGTAGAGAACCCAGGATATGAATCCAAGTTTCACCATTTATTAGCTGTGTGAACTTGTATGAGTTATTTAACCTCTCTAAGCCTTAGCCTCACATGTAACATGGCGATACCACCGTTACCTTCACAGGATTCTGGCAAAGACAAAATGAAATACAGTAACATTTTTACCTCCATCGCTAGGTTCCAATCAATTTTAGTTACCCTTTTCTCTCCTTTCCTATTCTCGAAATTGTCAAATGGATAAAAGATCAGGCTAACAATAAATTTTAACCTCTCACCTGAGGTTTATTTTTTAACGTGCTGTGTATAAATGGCTCTCAGTTTGAATTCAATAAAAGACAGAACTCATGCTGTATCGAACTCTATTGGCATCTACAACTTCTGTGATACCTGGATAATGAAAAGCTATACAAAGCTTTGGTTATGATAAACTGAAGATATACCAGTTTTTGTTCAGATCAAGTGTTACCAACTTCATATAGGTTTTTATGTAAAACAAAGTGTGTAGATTATAAATTGGCTTCCTTTGCTTTAGCATCTCTAGGACATTAGGATCAAAGCAGAATTTCTGGATCTCAACCTTTGTAGCAAGTATTAAGAATTGATGATTTTTTTCAAATATAGATTGTCAAGGTATGAACTCAATAAATGCTAACTCTCAAAGCTTAGACTATAAGCACACTTGTTATTGAATCATTTACTACTGGAGCTTCTCTATGGACCTTAATATAATTTCAAGAGAAATTTCGCTAGTGTACTTCACTGAGACAGGAAGACAATTAATAACATTTAGTTAATTTTTTCATGTTAGGGTTTACTGCCTTAGAAATTTTGAGAAGATGCAGGGTGTTTTAAATTGGAATTAAGCGGAATTAAAAGAGAAGAAAGCATTAGGATCACAGTGCAGCAGAGGTTGGCAAACCATACACTTACAGATAACCACTGTTTACAGTTTTAAAACATTTCCAAGATTGATCCTTATGACAATCTTTTGAGTAGTTAGGGCAGGTAATCGTTATGTCCACCATAGAGAAGAGAAAACAGAAACTCATAAATTATAAGGGACCTATCCAGCTCTTCTGACTACATCACCTTGTCCATTAAAATAAGAAGCACTAAACTAACCCAAAACTTCCAAGGGAGAAAGAGTTGAAGAAATTATTATTACAAGTTGTAATAATAATTTAAAAAAGAATGTAACAGGTAACAAAGTGAATAATACACTTTAGCAGAAGGAAAGGAAACCAGAGCAGAAAATGAGTTGTGATTCAAGTGGAGATGTAATGCATTGGTTTTTAAAAGGGTATTGCAAGATATGAGCTGTTTCCTTAGGTAAGAGCCAACCTCACAGACTCCTATCCTGAGGTGGCCTAAATGCAACTCTCCTGAGCATTCTCGGCATCCCGCATTGATCTCGATTTCCGCATTTATCATTCTCTTGAAAATTTCCATTTCAGCTCCCAATAAAGTGAAAATTCCTCTAGGACAGGGACCACTCTTACTAATCTTTGCATATAAACCAGTGTTTGGTCCTATCAGGTGTTCTATAAATGTTTTCTGATTTGATAATATTGTTTCATATTCTTTTCTATCCTGAAATGACCTTGCACAATGTTCAATAAACATTTGCTGATTAGATCTGATTTTGCATTCCCAACATCGCTACTAACTAGCTGTGCAACCCTGGACAATGATAGAAGTATTCCAAGACTCATTTTATTCATCTATAAAATATATTTGAAATAGGCATCTCTAATACTCTTTCCAGCTCTAAACATCTTCCATGTTATAAATCAGGGTTTATAGATGGGACTACGGGTCTTTGAGAGGAGAAGAGCAAATGCGGGAGGAAAG